GGAGTAAAATGGCTAAAATCTCACCTGCCGATAGATCTTGTTTAAATTCCTCCATGATCTTGTTCTGCCTTAACTCTGTGATCTCTTGCCACGCTACCACCCTGTCTGCTACCTCCTCTTGACGAGCACCAGCCTACTTCGTGCTCCCCGACCGCCATGCCTCACCATCAGTGGGTGAGATTTCCGGCATTCTGTCCTTGCTCTCTGCTCTCCATCCTTGAGTTCCACCTTTAAGACCTTGTTGTTTGGTCACCATCCACCCCAACCCCACACTCCCTTCTTCTTCACCTCTCCCGCCTACCCCAGCCCGAACTCCCAGTCGGCTGTGAAGCGCTTTGAGACATCCTTCTGATGCGAAAGGCACTGTATCAGTTAAAATTGTTGATGTTGCTGTAACTGGGGCTGTTGTTTGGAATACCATACACACTATCCCTTCCTCAGCTGTGAAATCACAACAGTTGCAAATTGTTTTTCCCATCATTTCTACAATATTATTTTAATGAGTTAAAAATAATCTGCTAGAAAATAAACAGAATAAATATAAAGTCAGTACCAAAGGGTCTACTGTACTGCGTTATCTATACACAGTACATTTTTAAGCCACCTCTTTTTTATAGTCACAGGCTTATTAGAAATTACTCCTGACACTGCAGACACACATGGCCAGTTTAAACCTCACTAAACACAAATATCTAATCTAATATCTTGAGTCACTCAGGCACTGTTAAGATTTGTTGCTCGAGCAGAACCTAACATTGAATTCAAAGTCTATGGCATCCATTTAGTCTCCACAGTAAGCACGAACGAAAGAGGATTCCACACAGCTCACTTGAATCATTGTGTCTGGTTTGAGGCTATTTTGCAAAAGTTCCCTTCTGCTTCTCTCCCCCCGAAGAAAAACAGTATCTGAACAATTTACCCTTTAGGTATTGTGACCAGATATTTCTCAGAAAAGGTTCGTCTGTTTGCTGGTTTCCACTTAGCTCTGAAAGCGACAGTCACAAAAACAGCACTGTGACCACTAGAGACTGAACCGTTGCTATGGTGCTGTTTGTGGATGTTTTTAAATAGTCTCATATTTGATCGACAGTTTGATGCCTACCATTAACTCACAGACAGAAGAAGTCTTTACGTTCTTGTATGATGTCACAGATTCATGCCGTTTTACGGAGATTTTCTTCCCTGTCAATCCACCACCTTTCTTCAAGAACAATGACAAGATACTGTTCCCCACTTCCTATTTCTTATTTGTTACATAGTGCAAAATGCTAACAAAATAGCGTAAACGTTCAGCTTTCCTCCACCTCTGCAACACTGCCCATCTCCGCCACTACCTTTGCCCTCGAGTTGCTGAGACCCTTATCCATACTTTTATCACCTCCAGGCTTGACTGTGCTAACCCTGTGCTTTCCAGACTTCCCAACTCTTCCCTCCACAAGCTGCAGACTATTCAACACAGCAGTTTGTGTCCTCACCCTCAGAGGACCTACCATCCCCACCCTCGCCCGGCTACACTAGCTCCCCATTCTCCCAGAGGATCGAGTTCAAAATCCTTTTCCTCACTTTTGAAGCCCTCCATGGTCTTACCCCACCCTATCTCTATGACCTTCTAAAACCTTATCAACTTGCCCACCTCAACACCTTTCTTTTTGACTACGACTTCAATCATCTTCCCACACCACTGGCCCCCACCCGTCTTGAATCAACCCCCAGCTCGGGTGCAAACCCTCAATTGTCCAGCGCCTTGGGATGTCCTCTCGACATGAAAAGCGCTATATGAATGTACATTTGTTGTTGTAAAACACGGAAAAATAGACTGCTAAGTGTCCTTTTAATATATTTTTGCCAGCCGGGTGTCTGGCACATGCAGAAATCCATCGCCATGCTTCAGATTATCCAAACCAAACTGAGAATTCCATATATCTCACCTACACATGGAAATCCCAGAGACAGATTGTTGGTATGGAATGCGCACTCTCTCCCTGAAGGGATGCACCCCGCTTACCTAATTCCAGAAAGTATGAGGCGCAGGTTGGCAAGAGCCAAGGCTTGGGGACCGCAGAGTGTGCGGGTATTGCTGGATTCTAACCAGCGCAAACTTCTGTCATTGACATCGCTGTCTGGCGAGCTTTCCTACTGCCTGTCCATCTGGGAACACCCTACCCTTTAGGGCTTTGGTTTCCAGGGTTACCGGGAGCTGAGTGAGATGACTCCCTGCCCCAAGTGACTAGTCTGCCCTTCCAAATCCTGCCGATGAGCAAGGCTGGCAGTACTGCGATCAACAGTACCCTGGAATACTACTGACCCTCTTGGCTCAGGAACTGGACTGCAGAGATGGCCTGAGGGTTGGCTCGATTCTGACATTCCGTGGCCAAGCATGTCACCTTGGACCCAGTTCAGCTCCCAGCAGACCACTCTTTCCCCCCGGCCCCCAGGGTATTTTTTATATTTCCAAATTTTATACATTTTTTAATTTCCATATTTTATATTGCCAAAAAAACGTATCTGATTTCTTCTCCCCATATGGCCTTACTTTGTACGGATTCTTGAGCTGTTTTGAGGGAATAACACGCAGTGTGTGCTCTTTTCTATTCTTTCTTTTCCCGAGCACTGCAAGGACATCGGTCTTACAATGAACCAATTTGTTAATTTACACACGTTAGCAGTTTCTACCAATCTAAGCAAAACATTTCACCTGCATGGAGTATTAGATCACCATGAATCTATGCTCCAGGTTCAAGAGTTCTGACCAGGAAGACACAACGAAAGTGAACTCTGGCACAATATCCTTGTACCTTTTATACTCCACATTTGACAGCCTTGACAAATGTAAGATTTTGAAGCATCTTGATTAAAAGCAGGTTTGGTCTTCTGACAATAAAAATGACTTGTCAGCGAATAAAAGGTTGCTGTGAGTGTAGAGAATATCTCAAGGGCTTTTACAAAGGAGTGGGACTCTGAGCTGGCATTGAAGGCAAGACATAGATCTTAAAGTTGATCCACTGGGGGATATAGAGCCAGTGGAGCCCGGTGACAATGGGGGTGATGGGCGATTTGGAGCCAATGCAAATGTTCTAGTTTTGTTGATTGTGGACAATTTTTGCAAGAAAGCACAACATGGAATATCAGACAGGACCTGATAGACAATTGAGGTGTGTGCCTATACAGTATTATATTTCTTCTCTCCCCCCACTAGCCGTGGAAAGCAAGCAGGCAACTGATTTCCAGTCCTTCCAATTCTTTAACATGTCACTTTGAGCTGCTTGTTGGAAGACACACCAAATAATAACCGTTGCATTTGATAATAGTGCCTTATCATACTGTTGAGGTATCTCAAAATGCTTCACAGGATGTACTGTCAAATGGTTTTGACTGTATTTTGTGGGTGAAACACAGCAGCAAGTCTGTACACAGCAATGTTCCACAAACATCCATGGAATGAATGACCAATGTTTATCTGGGGGATTGTTGGCCCTTCTCTTTTCGAATAGTGCCATGGGACTGTTAACAGCCATGTGAACAGGCGGACAGTTATGTCTCATCCAAAGGACGGCACCTGCATCAACACAACATCAGTGTTTTGCCTCTGCTTAGTGATTGCTCCGAGCTTGGTTAAAAACAATACAGGGAATCTACAGGCAGAAACACTTACTGTGCTAACAGAGTAACACATGCCTTGTACCTGAGCAAGAGTTGATTTTATAAATCTGAAGCCTAACTTAGAAAAGGATATAGACCAGCAGTCCACTGTTACAGAAGACACAAATTCTTTATAAACATGTGGCTGTTCAATTAGAACGTCTGTTTAGCAGATGAGATTTAATCTACCAGTTACAATTGCCTTGAGTTTGCCAATGTTCAGATTGAGCAAAGTGTCCATGTGAACATGACGGAAATATTACTTTTCAAAGCAGGCTGAGCAAGACGTAGATGAACCTACTCTTCTCTGCTCCCGTCCATTCTTTCCAGCCGAGCATAAAATGGGATCCAATTCAAACTTGTTGGTATTCAGACTGAAGGAAATGCGTTCCCAGCAGGGTGTGGCTTGGGAGAGCCAAGATTGCAGGAAAATATGAGATACAATGGAGAGGATTGGATTTTAAATGTCAATGATGACAAATGGCTATGAACCCCTACCCCCACTTGGAAAGAGTTCACAATTAAATTAATTCCAGTTCATTTCCTTTTTGTTTAGCAAAAAATAACCTCGCTCTGACAGATCTTCAGATGGAAGAACAACAAATGTTGTCAGTCCTCCTTAAATTAGCTTCAAGTGCATAAGTTCTCCAAAAGGCTAAGTGAATGCAAAAAAAATTCACAAACATCTGACTCGTGAAATCACCAGGCCATTCACAACAGGTTTAGGACAGTCACCAGGCTATTCAGCCTGGCGCAGTTGTAGCACTCTCAATTATAGTTGCGAGGTTTGTGGGTTCAAGCCTCATTTCAGGATTTTGAGGTCAGTCTGGGCACTCCAATACTCTGGCTGATACACCAGTACAGTGCTAGAGGTGTGCTGCATTGTCAGAGGCACCATCTGCCAGAAAAGACATGATACAGAGGTCCAGTCTGTCTGTTCTGGTGGACTTTCAAGATCGCATGGCACTATTGAGAAGAGAGTTTCTCCCGGTATCTTGACTGACAATCCCCTAGATTAAATTGGCCATTCACTTCATGGCTGTTTGTGAGATATTGCTATGCACAAATTGGCTGTATTCCATGCTGCATCACTATGTAACTCTAATCCATTCCCCTTACCGTTAAATGTTTCCTCTTCAAACATTTATCTGGTTGCATTTTAAATGCTGTTGTGGTCTTTGTGTCAGTACCTACTTGTAGCTAAGCATTCCACTATTACATTTCTTTCCATGTTTGTCACAGATGACTAGACCCATTTAAAACCACAGCATGGTCTGTGGAAAATAGTTCTTTAAGGTAACACAATGTCTAGGTTTTCCGATTGCTGAAACACATTGCTCGTGAAACCCAGTCGAAAGTGGTCTCATTTGAATTGCTTTTATTAGTGATTTTTTCAAAAAAAATTGAGACAATTTACCCAGTTCCCCAACAATTTTTAAAAGAAGAATCATTAATCAGATTGGGAGTTCGCAGCATCAGTACTGCGTAAACCACAATGGGCGTTTTCTGTTCCGTTCAATTACCCTCTGGTTCTCAGTGTCTGTCATTTTCTCTCCTTCGTACAATACCACCGTCTCTACAGCGGGTGCGTTGTGTGGTCTCCCTTCCTGTGCTTGAATCTGAGCTCTTATAAGGCTTGTCTCACGCTGAACTTTTTGATAGCAGAAACTACAGAGAACGTGTTTCAATTTCAAATGCCCGCACTCTTGGCAGACCTCTATATTGTTCTGAAATCAGAAGAAATTGCAATGTAAGAAATCAATGTAAAATTACTAGAATTACCTGAATTTTTGTGTTTATTGAAGGCAGGCAGGCACGTCAGCATCAAGCACTTCAGATTTGGCAGAAGTCAGCTACTGCAGGCTAATCTCCCGAGTCTCCAATTTCAACCCCTCCCACTCACCCATTCCCCATTGCACTATTTTGCTTTCCCACACAAGCCATCTTTTGTGGTATCAATGAGTGAGATAATTAACCTAATACTAAAATACTTGTGCTGGGGCCACAGAGTTGACTGCAGGACAGACACAGACATCATTAAGTCTAGGCTGAGTATGAAACCCAGGTCCCAGAGGTGACAATGCTTTGTGCGAACCCACTTCACTAACCAGTCGATCCCCTGCAGATCTATATATGAAACATAGTAATTAGAAATAAACACGTACAATCAAGTTATTTTCAGATGTTACAATAGTACAAACATCTAACATCTAACAGCCTTTCCTCCAAATGACAGTAACTGTGATTGTGCAGCCCCTGGAACACATTCCCTCTGAGAGTGAGATTCTATTAAGAGCGTAGATCTCCTGTGGGCTCATTCACTCCTCAGCGTCCTCCAGATGTGAAAGGCGCTGTACAAATGTACATTTGTGGCTGTTGTCATTTTACTGGAATCTCGGTACACCCGGCTTCCCAGCAATAAATAAATGGCTGATGTCCAGGTCGGCTGATAGGTGCTGATGTTATTTCCTGTACACTGGGAAGGAAATGACATCAGCTGTGACCTGACTTTGTTACAACTCGATCTGACATCATGAATGGAGCCCAATGCATTATATATGGGGTCGCCCTGTTCAACTCGTTGCAATCCAAGTAAGGTTTGAAATGGTAATAAAACCAATGACTAGTGTCCGTGCAACATGTCAAGGTAAGACCCTGAGGCACCACCTAAATTTTCTAAACTATGAGAAGCTGACCCCAGAGCAGGCACTCAAACAAAGTACAAGACAAGCCTGGATAGTTGGGAAACTTGAAAACAATTATTGAAAGTAATTGTTGCTGCATGCTGTATAAACGTTATTAAACAGCTGAGGGGCTGTGTGCTAATGTGGAAAATCACAGCATGTAACAAATTACTACATGTTACAAATTATTGTATTGGGAAATATGAGCATGGGGAGATGTCAATTTTATTAAAGTGACCAGTATTATAAAATTTCCTCCTAAATGATCACTAGGCTTGGGAGAGAGCGGATTTGGTTTCTATAGAAATTGATAATTGGGAGTTTTTCCGCTTGCTACATTTTCATTCAAAACACCAGGTTTTCAAATGATTTGCTGGCAGTACTCAACTCGCATTTCAGGAGACATATGAATGGAGATCACTTGGTGGTATTTTGAGGTTCCACTGAGTCTAATATGGATTTACAAATGTTTTTTTATAACTGAAAGCCGTTTTTTTAAAAAACAAGTTTACATTCTGTTACACTGTTTTCTTGTTGTGTTTCTTGTGTGTTGTCCGGTTTTGTTTAATCACCAAGCAATCTAGAATAGAATTTGGCCTCATTGGATTCAGTGTAACCTATGAAATTACAACACCAGGTTGCAATGCTGAATTTCTATAACAGCTTTGCGTTCGTTTTCTTCCACAGTGCTTTGATGTTATTTGGTACAAAAGTTAATAATAATTCCTCATTGGTTATAGCACCTTATGCCATCTTTGAGACATCTCAAAGTGCTCACAATATTTACTGTAGAGACTGTGTATTTTATAGGCACACCTGACAGTTTACTTACGCACAGTGATGAAGTGAATGACTTGCTAAGTCGTAAAACATGATGTGGAACATTAACCAGAATTCAGGGCACAGCGGAGCATAAAAATTGTTTCAGATGTAGCTTAAATTCAGGAGGCAGACCAAGACCTCCAAAATATATAAAATTAGGATTCTAGAAACTCTATTCAAATCATGATTCAGCACAGCTAAGATATTTTACGGTTCAGGTAAATAACATTATCCTTCTCCATGGCTTATGCTATAACAAATGTAAGGATTATTATTATGTATTTTGAATGAAGAGCACTTTGTAGAGGTGGTAAAAGAGAGGAAGGGCAGACATGGTTTCAAACCTTCATTCCATCTGAGTCTAAACATTTTCTAATAATAATCCTTGCAATGATATAGAGCCTGATCACGTCTTCGAGACGTCTCAAAGCACTTCACAGAATATACTCAGCCACAGCCATTTTGAGGCAAGTTAAGAGACAACCCTTGACCTCCAAAGTAAAATATTGCTGCTTAAATGCAGTGTTGCTCCAGTGGCTTATTCTGTGCAAGTACCTTGACTTTCTCCAGTTTGTTCGGGTTTCTCCTCCTGCATCGGTTGACTTCAATAGTACGGCGCTTTTTAGGTGCTGCCATCCAGAAGATGCTGTCCAGAAAGCTGGGGCTGTTAGTCTCACCATCATCGTGAGACTCATTGTGAGGCAGAGCGACTGGAGCATGTACTGCCAATGCAGGAGCTGAGAGGAACAGAAGGAAGCAAACCTTGTCAGCACATTTGACGTTTAATCACTGTCGACATGTTTGAAACCACAAGGTAGCCATACCTTTACACCCGAGGCTTTGCGCTCAATTATACTACATCAGCTCACTTTGCAGTATATTCTGCAAAGCGCTTTTGAGAGATCTCAACGGTGTAGGAAATGTGCTTCAGAGATTCAACCGGTCATGGAAAATTGAGCCAATTAACACTACAGACTTTGTACTGTGTTTAGAAGCCGGGCAATGCACAATTCCCCTAGATCCATGGGGCCCACAGTTATAATAATAATAATAATAATAACAGTTAGCTTAAACTGACAGGATTGTAGCTATTGGCTTCCTGTATACAGGGAGAATCACAACAGAGATCATCATTTGCATACGAGTTTCCCAGGTACCTAAGAAATACCTGTAAATACTAACAGTGAGTGAGAGAGAAAAATTTATGAGAATACGATGGTGGGCAAGCAAAATGTGACCTTTGGACAAATGTACCAGACATTTGCACCAGCACTGGGCTCCCAGTTTAATTTGATCAACATCGAAAAGATTTGGTACGTCACCACCAGGAAAGGCCCGAGTGATGTGTTTATGTGTAACACGGATCTGACTGTGTATTCTGCAGAAAGCAAGTCAACAACTGCTGAGTCAGGATTTCATCATTGGTTCGCTCTGCATCATTTCATTCTAGGTGTTCGCGTGTAAAATGCACAGCCACTACATTTAATAATAAATAATAATCCTTGCGTTTGATATAGCGCTTTTCACGTCGGGAGGACGTCCCAAAGCGCTTCACAAAACACACTGTAAAGTGAATTGACTGTATATTTGTGGGCGAACGCGGCAGCCAATTGCGCACAGCAATGTCCCACAAACAGTCGTAGATTGAAAATGACCAATTTATTATTGTTTTTGTTTTGGAGGGATTATTATTAGGCTCTGTGTGGAGTAAGGAAACTTGCCCAAGGTTTCGCCCTCTGCCTGGAATTGAACTCAGGTCTCTCACTTGCAAAGCGAGTGCTCTAACCACTGAGCTACAGGACTCCACGACTCCACATTTGACAGTAAATCTTGTGAAATCCTTTGAGATGACCTCCCAATATGGAGGTGCTGTCTCAAATGTAAGGATTATTATTATTATTATATCATTATTCTGTCGCAAAGCACAAGTTAAGAAAGTTCCGGGATTCCAGGTTCACTGATGTTCTGACCACGTGCCTGACAGCCATCCACTTTTGGAAGAGCCTCAACTTTCTTAAAACTAAACAGACAAGATGGAAGCCACCCTCCTCGGTTTTCCCATCAACACTTCCAAACTTCTGGCTGCAATTTCCTCGATCCCTGCCTCTCTCTCCAGTCAGTGCCTTACCTTGGCATTCAGTTCACCTCTCGGTTTCCTTTTGTTACTCACATCTGGTTCTGTGTGTCTATGATCACATCCCTCCTACGCTCTCTCTTCTCCCCCTCCCCACTGACAAGGTATCTGTTACCTTCTCTGTTAAGAAGTGCTGCGGGATATTGCTCTACGTGAAGGGGGTTATATAACTGAAAGTTGTTATCAAAACTGAGATAATATCAAGAAATCGTTCAAGAAATACTGCAATTTTAAAAAAAAACTGCAACTTTCATTGCACGTGGGAAAAGAATTTCACAGAAAGATCATTTTAAATTAAAAAAAAATATATCAGTGTTTAGCAAAACAAAGGCATCAATGTGCATTCAGGGGAACCTGAAATTCTCTGAAGTGAAGGGCGGCTGTTGTTGAAAAGACATTTTCTTGGGGAGTTTTCGGACTCCACGATATTTCACAGAAAAGGGCTCAAGTGGACTTTATTTCAACAAATACAGACAGCAGAAAACAGTTTGTAGAAAGGAAGTGAACCCGGTATAATAAACTGCCTTCATTAGAGCTGCTTTCCAGTCAACGACACTATAACCACAACACCTGGCTCCTGTGCACTGTGCAGATAGGAGGTCTGCTACACAAGCACTCCTGGGATTTGCTGCATGTCCTCCGCTAATAGGAACGGGCACAGCCACCCCTGGTGGCGTCTCAAAGTATTTTTCATCTCTTGTGAATTTGACGAGATTTGTCCTGCTCTTAAATAATCTTATTTGTTGAGAACAGTGAGGGGCTTCCCACAACATCATCAAATCCCTGTCACCTCCTTCTCCTCCCCAATTCATTTATCTTTTAACAGTTCCACTTGTTTTACATTTAAAAGATTAATGATAATCCTTGCATTTGATATAGCGCCTTGTCGCGTCTTCGAGACGTCTCAAAGCGCTTCACAGAATTTACTGTAAAGTGAATTGACTGTATATTTTGTGGGCAAAACGCGGCAGCCAATTGTACACAGCAGTATCCCACAATCAGTTGTTGGTTGAGTGACCAAATTATTATTGTTATTTTTTTCTGAAGGGATTATTACCCCCAGAAAAATGATCCGCTGATCGATGAACAACCGGGTTCCTACGTACTAAGCAGAACTTTCCCCCAAGAGATTGAGGGGATAGAATTCACTGTAAGTAACGGTTTCTGTGGTCAGGAACGCTTGGGATGTGATAGGCACTGTATAAATGTAAATTTGTATTGTTGTACTATATCCTAAAAACTTTGCTCGCAATCTCAGAACATTTGCACTATATCTTTGCAGCATTTTTTTCTCACATTAGCCGCCTTTTCTTGTTACTGTACCAGGCAAAAATCATTTCATTTGGGGCTCAGAGAGGATAGCATTTTATCACACCAATTTAGCCTGGATCCTTAAAGTTGAAAAGACAGTGGTGTATTTCATTGCATCATCTAACTCTCTGCTTGTCAGTCTTCCCAACTCTTCCCTCAAGCTGCAGATCATTTCTACAAAACTCTACAGCTCATGTCCTCTCCCACACCAAGCTCCATGATCCTATCACCCCCATCCTCGCCCGACTCCATTGGCCCCTCCATCCCCCAAGGATAGAGTTCAAAATCCTCGCCTTCAAGACCCTCCACGGTTTTGCTCCTTCCTACCTCTGTGACCTGCTATCCATATTGATATGTCCACTCCGCTCAGCAGGCTCCTGCGTGCTCCATGTCCCCTGACCAGCCCACCCCACCATCGGTAGTCGGGTCTTTAGCCTCTTTGCCCCCACCCTTTGGAACCACACCCCATAGTAGCTTCACCTCACTTCCTCCCTTGACTTCTTCAAGGCCCATCTCAAGATCCTCCTCTTTGACAGCACTCTCCTACCCCTCCCCATCCCAGATCCAAACCCCTAACTGTGAGGCGCCTTGGGACGTCCTTCGAAGTGAAAGGCGCTGTACAAATGTAATTTGTTGTTATTGTTGGGGCCTTTTAGTCTCCTTTCCACTCGAAGGAAACATCTAGGGTGAGTGAAAGGACGCAATTTGGAAATCTGCCCTCCTGCGACTAAATCTGGCCAAATCTAGACATTCACAATTATAATTTAATCGTGTAAAATCTGAAAGTTAATGAGATGATATAAATGAAATTAAATGTCAAGTTGTAATGTTTTGGAAACAAGATCAAAAATAGCAATTATAAATACATTAACTTTTAAGAATAGTCTTTCCAATTCCCTTCATGAACTGTAAAATAGCCTGCTTTGGTTCCTCAAGATGCTGTAATCACCTTTTCTCCTTCCTCTCCCACCAGTCCCTCTACAACTTTCTTCAATCGGCTTCCACCCCATTTGGAGCGGTAAGTGTGCCCAGGCAACTCATCTCCAATGACTCTCTCTCCATCTGCAACCAGCGCTCCTTTTGTCTCCTTGTTCTCCCTTTGCTACCTCGAAAACCAGCAATGATTTTATCCTTCTCCATCATCTCTCCTCTCTGCTCCACTTCCACACCTCTGTCTATTCCTAGTTTCACTCTTACGTATTCCAAGATCTTCACTTTGTCTCCTCTTTGGCTTCTACTCTCACAATCACTTGCAGTGTTCCTCAGGACTCTAACCTCTCCTTTTCACCATCTATTTGCACCCCGTTGGTGACATCATCTGCAGACATAGGGTCCACTTCCACGTGTACAAGGAAACTTTATTTTTCTGCCTCAAACCTCAATTTCAGGACCAACTGCATATCAGATATCAGATGGTTGAATATTGACAAGACCGAGGCCCTAACCCTTGGCTCCTGTCAGCGACTCCTCATCTCAGGCACTGACAGCATCACTGCCAATGGACGGAGGGAGTGGACAGGTTGATAAGGGGTCAGCAGGTCAGAGAGATAGGAAGGGACAAGGCCGTGGAGGGCCTTGAAGGTGAGAATGAGGGTTTTGAATTCTATCCTCTGAGGGATGGGGAGCCAGTGGACCTGGGCGAGAGTGGGGGTGATGGGGTCACGGAGCCTGGTGCGGGAGAGGACACGAGCTGCAGAGTACTGGATGATCTGCAGCTTGTGGAGGGAAGAGTTGGGGAGACCGACAAGCAGGGAGTTGGCGTAGTCCAGCCTAGATGTGATGAATGCATGAATGAGGTCTCGGCGGCCTGAAGGGTGAGGCAGTGGCGGAGTCGGGCGATGTTGCGGAAGTGGGGGAAAGCAGAGCGGGTCATGGTATGGATGTGGGGGAGAAAGGACAGTTGAGGGTCAAACAAGACACCTAAGGTTCCGGACTGGCTTAGTAAGGTGCAGTGTGCATCCATGGATGGTGATGCACTCAGCGCCTGAGGTGTGGAGGCGCTGACGGGAGCCAATCGGGAGAGCTTCGGTCGTGTTGACACTCAACTGTAGAAAGTTGGCTCTCGTCTTGGCCTTAGATATTCTGTCAGGACAGCAGTGGTCCTGGAGTCGAGGATGGAGGCAGAGAGATAGATTTAGGTTCTAATCTGACACAAACTTAGAAGCCCTTTTTGTCTGAACTCCTCTCCACTAAAAATACCCCTTCAAACACTAGTGGAACACATGGCAAATAGAACAAGCAGTGTGCATTTTTTGCACAATAAAACCAATAAAACAGCAATAAACACAGCATAAGGCATTATTCTCCCTCCCAAAAAAGAGCGAAGAGCTAAACCAAACAAAATTCCTCACTATTCAGACAGAATGATGCCTCGCCAGATCAGCCCAGCATCCTGTTGGCCTTCTCTGAGCCTATGTAGCAAGATTCACAAACCGTTATTATATCAATAGTAACTTTTGCTCTATGATTCAAAATCAATTTAAGATTGAATATTCATCACCCGTTGTCACCAACATTCATTACATCTCCCAAATAGAATCAATTGCAAAAAAAAGAGGCAATTTTCACATGTGGTAATTCTGCTCAGGAAGCACCTGCCCCTCACCAACTACTTGCATTTATATAGCGCCCTTCACACAGGGTAGCAACACAGAGCACTTTTCACCCTTTAGAAGTGTGAATGCAAAGAAAAAAATAGAGGCACTTTGAATTGAACTGATAAACCATTGCCACAGTAGACAATAATCCCGTATCTTCAACCTGGCTCTGTGGTAACACTCGTCTAGAGTCAGAAGCTTGGGGTTCAATAATAATAATAATCCTTGCATTTGATATAGCGCTTTTCACGTCGGGAGGACGTCCCAAAGCGCTTCACAGAAAACACTGTAAAGTGAATTGACTGTATTTGTGGGCGAACGCGGCAGCCAATTGCGCACAGCAATGTCCCACAAACAGTCGTAGATTGAAAATGACCAATTTATTATTGTTTTTGGAGGGATTATTATTAGGCTCTGTGTGGAGTAAGGAAACTTTCCCAAGGTTTCACCCTCTGCCTGGAGTTGAACTCAGGTCTCTCGCTTGCAAAGCGAGTGCTCTAACCACTGAGCTACAGGACTCCAAGCTCAAGCTCCATGTTGGGACTTTGAGCTCCTGACACTGCATTGTGGGTGGTGGGGGGTGTCAGAGGTACTATCCTTTAGATTTTAGTCCTTTGATATCAGTTCTTACCATCATTGTGAAGAAGAATTCACGAAGCATTGGACTGTTCATCCTTTCATTGGACTGTTCATCATTGGACTTTTCCTATGTCCTGCCAGTGAATACAGTCTGCCAGCAGAAATTGTTCTTAATAGCTGGGAAGGTATTTAAAAAATACAATTTGCAGGTTTCAGGACTGGAAAGAACAAGATGTCTTGTTCAGCTTCTAAAAGTGGAGAACCCCATAGTGCCAAATTGCCTGAGCAATCATTTGTAATTTGTAAAGCTTTACCTAATGCTATCTACAATCGCTTTCAAGTGTTTTTTCCTTTCGACTTCTGATGCAAGGTCATATATAAAATTCATATTTTAATATAAAAATCAGAATTTGAATGCATCGGAGTCCTGTAGCTCAGTAGTTAGAAAACTCGCCTCGCAAGTGAGAGACCTGGGTTCTTTTCCCGGCAATCCAAAATGTTGTGAAAGTTTCCTTACTCCACACGCCCGTTTACTGAGCAGTAAGTAGGAACCTGATTGTTAGTCGATTAGCCGATCGCTTTTCCGGGGATGATAATAATACCAAACAAAAAAAAATAATAATTTGGTCACTCAGTACACGACTGTTTGTGGGACACTGCTGTGCGCAATTGGCTGCCGCATTTCGCCCACAAATATACAGTCAATTCACTTTACAGTATATTCTGTGAAGCGCTTTGAGACGTCTAGAAGACGAGAAAGGTGCTATATCAAATGCAAGGATTATTTGCTGGGTTAGAGCATTGTGAGGCAGGTTAATTTTATCCTACTGATAACATGTTGTTGCAATTGTAATTCTGCAATAGTCTAGAAAATGACCTTTTATCGGAGGGATTGATCTTGTGCTATGGACTAGAGAGAGGGGGAAACATTTCTCCAACACTGGGAAGACAAAGGGAATGGAGAGAGAATCAGAAGATTATAGGTTCAGCCTCACAGATATTGCAGTCCTGGGGAAAGCACTGCCTTGTCAGATATTAACGTGAGGTCACATCTGTATGTTCTGGACATTATGCGTCTATTGTATGTGTCATACAGATTTTATGGCACCATTCAAAACAAAAAATGCTGAAACTGTATAGGGCCCTGGTGAGACCACACCTGGAATACTGTGTGCAGTTTTGGTCTCCTTATTTAAGGAAGGATGTATTTGCCTTGGAGGGGGTGCAGCGTAGATTTACTAGGTTAGTACCAGGGATAAAGGGGATGAGTTACGAGGATAGGCTCACCAATTTGGGCCTATATTCTCTAGAATATTGAAGAATTAGAGGGGATCTTATAGAAACCTATAAGATCATCAAAGGGCATGATAGAGTAGATAGTGGGAGATTGTTTCCCCGGTTGGAGAAACTAAAACCAGGGGTCACAACCTTAAAATCAGAGGCCAGCCCTTTCGCACTGAGTTGAGGAAAAACTTCTTCACTCAAAGGGTGGTGAATGTATGGAACTCACTACCCCAAAGGGCTGTTGACGCTCAGTCCTTAGACATATTCAAGACTGAGATAGATAGATTTCTTACTGCAAAAGGGATTAAGGGATATGGGGATAAGGCAGGGTCAGGTTATTAGCTGGAGTTGGATTAGAAGATCAACCATGATTGAATGGCGGGGCAGGCTCGAAGGGCCGAATGGCCTACTCCTGCTCCTACATGTTATGTTATGAAGGGAATTTCTCTCAGTGTCCTGGCCAAAACAACCACTCACCTTGCAAGCGAGATCTGGGTTCAATTCCCGGCAGGATGAAACATTGGGCAAGTGTCCTTCTCCACATGCCTGACAATAATCCCTCAAGAAAAAATCATAATAATTTGGTCACTTCAATCCACGACTGTTTGTGGGACACTGCTTTGCGCAATTGAATGCTGCATTTCGCCCACAAATATACAGTCAATTCACTTTACAGTCTATTCTGTGAAGTGCTTTGAAACATCTAGAAGACATGAAAAGTGCTATATCAAATGCAAGGATCATTATTATAATTGATAATTCCCTCCATGGCTTCTCGTTAGTTAGGTGTGTACAAATTTGCTGCTGCATTCAGCTACAAACATAGTCACTATACTTTACAATAAAATCCTGTAAAGAACTTTAGGACATATCTGCTCAGTCAAATGTAAGGATTATTATAACCGGCACTTCACAGAATGTACTGTAAAGTGAATTGACTAAAGTATATTTCGTGGGCGAAACACAGCAGCCAATTGCGCACAGCAGTGTCCCACTAACAGTTATGGATTAAGTGACCAAATTGTTATTTTCTTTTGGAGGGATTATTACCCCGGGAAAGCGATCTGCTAATTGACCAACAACAGGATTCCTACTTACTGCTAGGTAAACACAGTCGTGTGGAGGAAGGAAACTTGCCTAAGGTTTCACCCTGCCAGGAATCGAACCTGGTAACTCTCACTTGCTTTTAACCAATAAGCTACAGGACTCCAGTGTGAACCTGAATGGATAAAAAGGCGTAGAGTAAAATTTGGCAGTTTTGCAGTGAACATTGGCAACTTTGTGTTGACAACACATGATGAGCTCACATGAGGCCCTAAGTATGCAAGATGAATATCATCATGGACTTACTTCAAGATGAAGTACAACAAACCCCAAAAGTACAGCAAACTCTTAATTCATCAATTTAGCCGTCCTCCCCATTCTATATCTAATGGGACATACTTTTTTTTTACCAATTTCCTTCACCTTGCCCCCTTCAAGGCCCGTCTCAAGAGCTTCCGCTTCGACTGCGCCTTTGGACGTCACCCTCCTTACCCTCACTCTCCCTGCCCTTTCACCCACCTGATCCCAAACCCCGGCTCGGGTGCAAAACCTTGACTGTCCAGCGCCTTGGGAAGTCCTCCCGAGCACGAAAGGCGCTATACAATTGTAATTTGCTGTTGTAATTGTCGGCGCAATGCTGGGGTCTAACCAGCTAAAACCGCCGAGCTTGCCGTTGATGTTGCTGTCCGGCAAGCTTTCCCGCTGCTTGTCCAGCTAGGACCACCCTGCCCGTTAGGGTCCTTTGACTTGCAGGAGCCGAGTGGCATGACTCCCTGCAACCCCCCCCCCCCCCAGTGACCGATCTACCCTTCCAAGTCCCGCCGATCAGCCAGACTGGCTGCGCTGTCGTTAACAGTGCCCTGGAATACCACGGACCCGCCGGGCTCAGGAACCGGACCGCCGAGACCGCCCCGGAGGGCTGTCTCCATTCCGACATTCCGTCGCCGGGCGCGTGACCTTGGGAGCCAGTTCAGCTCCGAGGGGACCCCCCCACCCCCCCGCTTTCCTCTCTCTCCACCCGCGCGCACCCCCACCCCACCCAACCACCCACCCAACCACCACCACGAAGCCATTTCGACACGAGAAATAAAAGCGAGCGCGCGCGACCTTGACGGGATGATCGCAAACTCGGGGGGGGGGGGGGGGGGGGGGGTTGGCTTTGCGCTCAAGAGGGTGCACCGCGTGACAAAAGAGAGGCGTCTTCTTCGGACCCAGGAAGGAACCAAGTGCTGCCATTTCAATCAACTTCCGGAGGTGACCGCGTAGCAGCTGCTGCTGAAGGCAGGTGGTGGGTGGGAATGGATGGATAGAAAGATGGGGAGTCCTCTTCCTTCCTTCCCCTACCACACCCTACCCTGCCCTCTCTCTCTCTCTCTCTCTCTCTCCCCCCACCCACACCCTCAGCAGGACTCTCACCTAAAGCCGGCGGCTGTCCCAGCGCCTGCAGCAAAGCGGCCCAGGAGCGCGCGAGCCGCCCCAACAGCAGCGGCAGCAACAGCGGCTGCACCGGCGGCGCCATTGTGACGATCCAATCAGAAGCTCGCCCGGAGCCGACGCGGGGTTCCAACCCCGGCCGCGCGTGCGCCGAGGTCAGGCGGCCATCACGTGACCCTCGTCCCTTTCTTCCTTCCCCCCCTTCTTCCTCTCCCCCCCCCCTTCTTCCTGTTCCTGTCTTCCAATGACGTAGGCAACGCTAAGCGTCGGAGCGCGCCCGGGGCGGCGGTTGAACGCTGATCGCTCGCGACCCACCAACCAACCAACCAACCTAGCTGCGCGTGCGCGGCAGTGCAAAGAGCAACGAATCCCCCCCCGGGGGCCAGGGCCGCGTCCCAAATGGCACTACAACTCCCGCCATGCAGTGCGCGGCGCGCCGCGGGGGGGTGGCGCGGCGCCCGCCGGGTGATGTCGTCGGATAGGCGCGGGCGAGGGGGCGGCTGGGAAGGCGGTGTTGCGCAGGCGCGTTGCCCTTCTGTGGGAGAGCGTCGACCCGGGTGAGGATATGGCGGACCGGGGCTACAGCTTCTCGTTAACTACGTTCAGGTAAAGAGCGAGAGGGGGAGAGTGAGAGAGGGGGAGAGAGAGCCTAACACCCGGGCGGGGGGGCCTGTCCCCCACATCAACCTGTCCAGCCGCCGCCGCCTCCCTCTCCCTCTCCCCCCTCTGGCGGGGCCCGGCCCGCGGAGCCGAGCCGAGCGCTTCACAAGTTTGCAGAGTCACGGCCTGGCGCTGGGGGAGAGGGAGAGGGGGAGAGAGAGAGGAGGGAGGGAGAGGGGGGGGAGGGAGAGAGAGGGGGAGAGAGAGGGAGAGTTGTTTCTTTTTTATATAAATATATATACTTTTCCTTTCAAAATAAAAGTAGTGGAGTTTTTTTTGTGTGTGTGTGTGTGTGTGTGACCCACCGTTGTTTCCTTGGCCTCGGAAAGGGGAGGGAGAGAGGGAGGGAAGGAGAGGGAGGGAGGGAGAGAGGGAGAGGGGCCGCTCAGGTTGCGCTCTGGTTTCCTGTGCGCTTTTCTGAGGGGACGACGACGACGACGTGTGGAGTCAGGATGTGGGTGAAGGGCCTCCCAGAGCCCGGGCTGCTGTGGGGGGGGGGTGTGTGTGGGGTGTGGGGGGGGATTCTGTCGTTTCACTTTCGTTTGCAGCTCTCACTGGTCGGGGTCGGGGGGGGGGGGGGGTTGTTGTTCGTCGGTTCCGGCAGCAAAAGCACCGGCAGATACACCACTCTTTCTATTCCGTGCTTCACTTGTTTAGTCAATTCCCTTATTTGTCCGCCAGCAATTGCACCGGAGGTCGCGAGTTTCTGATCCTGGTTTCGTTTCGTCAGCTCTGGGCCTTCGTAAAAGAAGCTTTGCTGCTTCACCCAACGGGTTTGATTTTCTCCCTTCCCCCTCACCCCACCCCACAAAAAAAAATCACGAGCTGCCGCTTTGCATTACTGAAAGACCGAGGATGCAAACAAAAAAAACCACACATTTGTGATTAAACCAGTGATGGTGAACTTCGTTTTTCGTTTGAGGGGGAAAAAAAACGGTTCAAAAGTAATCGAGTTTTTCTGAATTCTCCCCCGAGTTATTGATTTTTTTTTTGCAAATTGTTAATGATGAATTGGCTTATCAATGCTACTGGTGTTGAAAGGACTATTTGTTGATTATAGTCCAGGCTGACATCCTTGTGTGGGACTGGGACTGGGAGAGCACTGACTGCACTATTAGAAATGTCATCTCATTTGTGATGAGAGGTTAAACTGGAATCCCGTCTACCTGTTCAGTGGATGTTAAAGATCCAAAGACACTGTTTAAAACAAGACGGATATTTCTCCTGGTGTCCTGACCGACAATCCTCCAGATAAATTGGTTATTTATCTCACATTTTTTGTGGTATCTTACAAATACTGTTGTTGCATTTCCCCACAAAAATAGTCTCTACTCTTGCCAGTAACTTCTGCAAAGTGCTTTGAGACATTTTAATGTAATCTGGGCTATACAAGTTCTTTGCTTTCCTAGTTGTTTTTAATAATTGTTTGAAAATGTCATAAGAATTTTATGCAGGATTTCTGAATAACCTGCATGTAAAGTGCTTTAGGATTGACTGACTAATTAATGAGTTTCCACCAAACTTAATTGTAACATATTACCTCGTAAGCAGCTCAGGTTAATTGCAGAGTAGGTTTTCTCTTAACTCACAACCACATAGCTACAATTTTAGATTTGCTGTCTGTCTACAATCAAAATAACTTTTCAATTGTATTATACAACAACAACAAAATTACATTTGTATAGCGTCTTTCACTTTGGCAGGACGTCCCAAGGCGCTGATAGGATCAGAAACCCAGCTGACCCCCACAAAAAATGTAGGATGAGGGTTACAGTGAATCACTGAACTACTTTGTATCCCATTAACAACAACAACAAAATTACATTTATAGAGTGCCTTTCTCGTCGGGAGGACGTCCCAAGGCGCTGGGATGGCTTATCAGTGCAAAAGAACAAAATAAGAATGTCTTGGATAAACTGATGTGGATGACTTGAGTAGTCATTAACTTATCATTCATTAATTATCATGACTTGGGCTGCAAATTTGACATAGCATGTTTTGGCAAAGATCATCGAGCAGTCCCGGTAAATTTAGTGAATGTCACGGGTTTATGGGGAAATGTTAGGAGAAGTCATGGGCATGGAAATTCAACTATACCTCTTACCTCCCAACATTTCCAATTTCTAAATCGGAAGACAATAAAAAAATACACCTCCGAGAACTGATGGGCTTTTCCAAGCATAAATGTTTTTGCTATTTTACTCCCTTGTTAATCATTTTTCTGTTTAGCATCTTTCAAATGTTGGACTTTCTTTGGATAACAAACTCACTACTAGTTTTAAAGCATTGTCTGCCCATTAGATGAAAGGGGGAAACAAAAGAAGGATACACATTATGGTATTGTGTTGGGTACATTAGATTGTACATGTGGAATTTAAATGTCTGAGTAACCTTTACTCATCCTAAGCTGTGTGGTATTTTTGTCTTTACTGTTACTGAATGTTGTATGTATAAAGTAGTAACTGTTATACTTTGATGTACTGTATGTTTGTGACAGTCAAGGAAAGGGATATCAGCACTGGGAAATGATGGAGAATTCCAGTGTTTGTAGCTGATGGCGACATCAGGAAATATGCAGAGCGGAGGGGAACTTGACTGAAAGTGTGGCTGAGGACAGATCTCCTGCTGTTACACATTCCATGTTACGTTCCATGCTATTCTAAGTCTGATTGCTGTTATACAATTTTATGTGTTTTGTTTTATCTTGCAGCCCTTCTGGCAAACTTGTGCAGATTGAGTATGCTCTGGCAGCTGTAGCTGCAGGTGCTCCATCAGTGGGAATCAAAGGTATGACAATTATATATCCACTGACCTCCTCTCACAACCTCTTTCTCCACACCCACTCTGTCACCCTTGTCTATGATCACCCGCTTGACCTGGTGATTACCCGGGCCCTCAGCATCTCGGACCTCACCATCACCAACAAAGCCAACTAGTACCAATCCTTAACTCCTCAATCCCTCAACCCACCTCCATCTCCTACCGCCCCTGGAAAAACATCTCTCTCTACCGTCCGCTGCTTTGGAGGCATCTGAACTCCTCCCATTCTGGGCTTCCTCCCGCACCAACCTATCCACCTCGGTCACTCTCCTCCACAACTCCCTCTCCACCACTCTCGATGGTCCCATCACTTCCCGAACAGTCCCCTATTCAAGGAAGTCACCCTGGTACACCAGCCACCTCCTCTCCCTCAAGGCACAGGTGCCTGCTGCTGCACGCACCTGGCTCAAATCTAACTTAACAGTCCATCGGCAGATCTGGCTGGACCTTATCAAAATGTATTGCTCTGCTAAATTGTCCTTCTACTCCATGACAACCTTGGAGGTCAAGGACCACCTCAGGCTCTTCTCCTCCATCACCAACTGGCTACTCTACCCACCCTCTTGCGCCTCGCCCGTCCTCTCCTCCAACTCCAACTGCGAGGTGATGCTGGACTTCCTCGAAACCTAAGTCCCCAATTACCCCGGTCCTTGCCAGACTGCACTGGCTGCCTGTCCCAGAGGATCGACTTCAAGATCCTCACTCTTGTCTTCAAATCCTCCTCTACACCCCCTACCTCTCTGACCTCCTCCTCACAACAGTGCCCATTGCCTTCGCTCCACTGGGTCTGGCCTCCTCCTTGTCCCCAAATCCTCTGCTCCACCATCGATGGCCACTACGCCCCGAGGCTCTGGAACTACCTTCCTCACTCCCTTCACCTCACCCTCTCTCTTCCTATTTTCAGGTCTCGGCTGAAGACCTTTCTTTTCGACCGCGCCTTTGGTCACCTTCCTCCCCCTCCCCCTGGCTCAGCCCCGGGATCCGTTACTGTGAAGCGCTCTGAGACGCTGTCAGGCGTGGAGGGCGCTATATAAATCCAAGTTGTTGTTGTTGTAAATCGACGGAATCCGCTCAGCTGCCTCTGCCTTCCGTCTACTTCCCCCTCACACTCTGGCGCCTACCCATCCCTCCCTCCACACCTTCGAACCTGTCTCCCACTCCTCACTCAACACCACTATAATAATAATAATCCTTGCATTTGACGTTTCAAAGTGCGTCAAAGAATATCCTGTAAAGTGAGTTGACTGTATATTTGTGGGCGAAACGAGGCAGCAATGTCTCAACAGCAGTCGTGGATTGAATGACAATTTTTTTTTCTTGATGGATTATCATCAGGTTATTATTCTGATTATTATAATAATTTATTGATGCAATTTATTATTGTATAGCGTGAAAGGCACTATACAAATGTAATTTTGTTGTATTTTGGCTATTTCAAAACCGATGGTGTTTTTATAACTTGTTTGCAGTGATTTCCTTTTTTTCTCATTATTTTAAATTCGTAAAGAGAAAGGAAGCTCTTGTATAAATACTTGCTTACAAATCACCTCCATCATTTTGTTAGTTTGGTTATAATAAAATTAGAAGGTATTTCATACAAGAGTGTCTTCATTGGCTTTATGGAGTGCTGTAGCTCAGTGGTTAGAGGACTTGCCTCTCAGGCGCGAGACCTGGGTTCAGTTCTCGGTAGGGCGAAATGTTGGGCAAGGTTTCTTACTCCACACGCTTCTGACCTAGCAGTAAGTAGGAACCGGTTGTTAGTTGATTGGCAGATTGCTTTTCCTGGGTAATAATTCCTTTAAAAAAAATTGGTCGCTTCAATTTACAACTGTTTGTGTAACACTGCTGTGCGCAATTGGCTGCAGCATTTTTGCCCACAAAATATAGTCAATTAACTTTACAGTATATACCGTGAAGCGCTCTGAAACGTCTCGAAGACATGATAAGACGCTATATCAAATACAAGGATTATTATTTACAGGTGAGTGATGAATTAAATGAAAAACTTAAATATTGAATGTTGACTGAGCTGCATGATGGAATCAACCAGGTCAATCCCTGGCATCATGTCTCAACGAGGAAATGAACGTGTAATACAATTTACAATATACACTTACATTCATGTTGCACCTTTCACGTAAGGAGGAAGTCTCAAAAGTGCTTGTTAGCAGTCCGTAAAGATCAAATAAATTTTGAGTTCATATCATTTACCTAAAAAATACAGTCACTAAATTCTATAGTAAATCTTCTGAAGCGTTTTGAGATGTATCACTTGTAGGATGAGATGCTATATCAACAATAGCAACAAACTGCATTTTTTATAACGCCTTTCATGTCAAGAGGAATACAATGTCAAATGTAAGAATTATTAGTTATTCTTAATCGATTATATGCAAATGTTTGTTTCTATTTTTTCAGCTTCCAATGGAGTAGTACTGGCAACAGAAAAGAAACAGAAGTCAATTCTTTATGATGAACAGAGTGTACACAAGGTGGAGCCAATCACCAAGCATATAGGAATGGTGTACAGCGGAATGGGTCCAGATTACAGGTACGTGTTGCTGAGAGAATCATAGGATACCAGTAGCTCGTTTCTTGTCTTACCCTTTAACTCGTTAACGATCAAGAACCTTGGAATTTTAAAGCTTTGGAACTCGCTCACCTATTGCAGGCAATGGAAATTAATTTCCTTTTTTCGATTGGCAGAGAGGTTTCTGTACAAGGAAATAGAAATGATAGAAAGAGTAAAATGTTGGTTTACTGCGTCTTCTATCAGGTTTTTTTTCACTAAAGAACAACAACAAATTGCATTTATATAGCACCCTTCACATCGGGAGGACATCCCAAGTCACTGGTTTGCGTCCAAGCTGGGGTCGAGTGGAGGTGGGAGGATGACCTAAACCACGGTCAAAGGAGGTCTTGATATGCCCTTGAAGGAGGTGAAGGAAGGGCTTCAGATGTTGGGGATAGAAAGGCTGAAGGCCTGACTGCCGATAATAGAGCGGGCGGGGGAACATGGAGCAAGCCAAGGCCCTCTGAGTGGAGGGAGAGGGCAGGTTGGTAAAGCTTTAGTAGGTTGCAGAGGTAGGGAAAGGCATGACTGTGGAGGGCTTTAAAATTGAGGACGAAGATCTTGAAGGATTCTCTTGGCGATGGGGAGCCAGTGAAGGCGGGCGAGGATGGGGTGATAGACTCACAAAGCTTAGTGCGGGAGAGTACACAAGCTGCAGAGTTCTGAATAATCTGCAAGTTATGGAGAGAAGAGTTGGGAAGTCAACAGGAGAAGAGATGTGTAAGAGGTTGTGTTCAAAATTCTAAAAGGATTTGATAAGGTTAACATAAGTAGGCTCTTCTCACTTGTTGGGGGTCCATAACCGGGCACACCACAAGTATAGGATAGCGATTAGAGGATCTAAAAAAAGAAATTGAGAGGAACTACTTCATGCAGAAGGTAGTGAGAATGTGTGCTTGCTAACCAAACCAGTGGTTGAATCAGAGAGTATAGATACATTCAGGAGGAAGCTAGATTTTCACATGAGGGAGAGGGAAATATTAAATAAAATAATAATGTAAATTGATGTAAACCAGCTTTCAGTGGTATACTGTAATTCCAGTTTTTACTGAACAACAACTTGCATTTATATAGCACCCTCCACGCCAGACGACGTCCCAGAGCGCTTAACAATGGTGGAGCCCGATGCTGAGCTAGGGGGAGGGGGAGGTGACCATAGGCATGGTTGAGGAGGAAGATCCTCAGGCGCAACCTGGAAATGGGGAAAGAAGGGGCAAGGCGAAGGGATTGAGGGAGGGAGTTCCATAGCTTCGGGATGTAGTGGCTGAAGGCACAACCGCCGATGGTGGAGAAGAGGATTCGAGGGACAAGGAGGAAGGTGGAGCCAGTAGAGCCGAGGCAGCAGGTAGTGCTGTGAGGAGAGAGAAGGTTGGAGAGATAGGGGGGTGCCAAGGCCTGGAGGGAAACTCTAGAGAGGATCTTGGTCGATCTGCTCTGTGACGGAGCAGTGGAGTTTGGTAAGGACTTGGGTAATCGGGGTGCGAAGTTTAGTGCGGTTGAGAATGCAGGTAGGGAGCTTTGGATTAGTTGAATTTTGTGAATAGTGGAGGAGGGGAGGAGGACCTTCACTTTCAGATCTCAAGCAACAAATCTGAGCAATGTATAACATATTCTGTGAAACGCTTTGAGACGTCTCCGTAATGTGATAAGGCGCTATATCAAATGCAAGGATTATTATTATTATACTGCTGGCACACATCAGCGGACTTGGCTACCAAGGACAAGCCCTGAAGTATGTTACATACATGCAGCACCGTGTCGATGTCACCTGTACAAGGTCACAGGGTTCAACTGTCATTTGTAAGCCTGTCAGTGGCATGTTGTCTTGCTTGCTGGACAAATTGAGATGCCAGCTTGATAATTAGGATAATTTCTTGGAGTGGAAGATGATTTGGGGAATATTTGCCCTGTTTAAAATGCAGTATGTACACACTCTACAAAAGCTAGACCATATTTAACATGGTACTCTAATTTATTGATGAAAAATTCTGGTTGCCCCACAGAGTCCTGATACGCCGGGCTCGTAAATTGGCGCAGCAATACTATCTTGTGTATCAGGAGCCCATCCCCACAGCCCAGCTAGTTCAGAGAGTGGCCTCTGTTATGCAGGAATACACACAATCTGGGTAAGTACAGTTATTTAGTTTCTTCATTTTCATGCTGTATACTGGGTCACAGCCAGTGCAGAGGGGGAAATTAATCATAACTTTTAAACTAGGGTTATATCAGCGCTATATTAGACTTCTGTCAGAGTAAGTTTGCTGTGCCCAGGAGCGGGCTGAAGGGTTGCTGCATTGGGCTTGAAGAAACGGTTAGATTGAAAGTGTTCCATTTTGTGACTGCGGAAGTGGTATTTCAAGACCGTTAATAGTGAAAGGTTACCATGAAGAGGAACCCTGCTGCCAATTATATCATCAAAAGAAGTGGCAATAATATAACTTCACTCTAAATGTGACTCATATTCCTGAGAGAAACGACTTAAGATCAGAGACTTAGCAATAGAGCTGCTGCAATCAGTAAATGATGTTCCTGCATTGATTGATGCAGTGCTGTTTGAAATAGTGCACGTGTATATGCAAGTCATCTTTCTCAATTCCAGGGGTGTCCGTCCATTCGGAGTGTCGTTGTTGGTTGCTGGCTGGGAAGATGGTCACCCACATTTGTTCCAATCAGATCCATCTGTAAGTGTTTTAGGAAGACACTTGCTCTCCTAACCTTTTCTGAGCTTTGCTTTCCAGATGTAAGATAAGCTCTGAATCACTGCCACCCTTAACTGAAACCTCCTCAAATGGGCATGTTGTAATCTTAAGTGAAGGCCTGTACATTGGGATGCTGTGAATTTGAACCTGCTGTGTGATGGTTGTCAAGAAATGAAAACTGAGATTTGTTTAATTGGTTTTAAAATGCTCATGGGCTCTTTGTGGATATTTACTTTCAAGGTGTGAGTGGGTAAAGGATTTACTGCACTTTTTGCACTTACTAATATTGTTTTCAATGTTGAAGTAGGCACAAATATCAGATTGAATAAATTCACTTATGGCTGGTGAGGAGTAAATGGGCAATGCCTTGGCCTTTTTCTTGGTGATCTTTCAGTATTTTTCAGCTCTGGAAGTGCAGAACCATTAATTGATCTGGCTTAATGCTAACTGGATTCGATGTGCAACTTTGATCTGTTTTCTTTCATCCCCCTCCCTTTTTTGGTGTATTGCTGGATAGCAACATTTTTATCAAGTTTTGTTTTTTTATCTTAAACAGGGTGCATACTTTGCATGGAAAGCAACAGCCATGGGGAAGAATTATGTAAATGGAAAGACTTTCCTTGAAAAAAGGTACAGTAACAGTCACAGCTTAAATTTACACAGACTGATTGGGCTTAAATATGAGAGAGGGAAAGGGGAGATAGAAAGAGAAACAGCGAGTGAGGGAGAGAGGGGGGAAGTGAAGGCAGAGTTTGGAGGAGGGAGGGAATCAGTGCTCACGGTTTCCATTTGAGGGAGGTGGGGGGATATCTGTCCTGCTCCATAGTCTTCACTGTGGAGGTGGGGAGGGAGATGGCAGCTGGAAGAAGGGTTGAGAGGATAGAGAAAAACATGCTCGCCTCGCTCTGGTTTGTGTGCTTTCTGCAACTCAACGTCAGCAAGACCGAGGCCCTCCTGATTGGCTCGCGCCAGCGCCTCCACACCTCAGGCGCTGGCAGCATCAGCCTCCACGGCTGCACACTCAACCTCACTAAGCCAGTCAGGAACCTGGGTGTCTTGTTTGACCCTGAACTGTCCTTTCTCCCCACATCCGTGCCATGACCGGCACTGCCTACCACCACCTCCGCAACATTGCCAGACTCCGCCACTGCCTCTCCCCTCAGGCTGCCGAAACCCTTATCCATGCATTCGTAACATCAAGGGTCAATTACGGAAACTCCCTCCTCATCGGCCTTCCCAACTCTTCCCTTCACAAGCTGCAGATCATCCAAAACTCTGCAGCTCGTGTACTCTCGCACACCAGGCTCTGTGACCCCATCACTCCCACCCTCACCCGACTCCACTGGCTTCCCATCCCCCAGAGGATCAAATTCAAGAGCGTCATCCTGACGTTTAAGGCCATCCATGGCCTTGCCCCCTCCTAACTCTGACCTGCTGACTCCCTACCAACCCGCCCGCTCCCTCCGTTCAGCGTGCTCCGATCTGCTCCATGTCTCCCGCCCGACCTGCCCTACCATCGGTGGCCGGGCTTTCAGCCTTACTGCCCCTACAATCTGGAACTCCATCCCACAGTCCTGTCGCCTCACTTCCTCCCTTGCCTCCTTCAAAGCCGGTCTCAAGACCCTTCTCTTCGATCGTGGCTTTGGTCTCCCTCCCACCTCTCTGCCTTCCCTCACTCCTACACCACACCTCCCCCATGCTCAGGTCCCGACACTTGACTGTTCAGCGCTTTGGGACATCCTCCCGACATGAAAGGCGCTCTATAAATGTAATTTTGTTGTTGTTGCTCCAGTCCAACATTATTAACTGTAGTTCAAAATGCAGACTGCCGTGATTTTTAAAAATATATTATCTTAGATGAAGGTGACACAAACTTCTGATGCATATAGTACTTAAGAGATGTGATGGCCATGCAGGAAATGTTTATTTCAAGGTAATGTGCTGTCTTCCTATAATAAATATTAAATTCTATTGTTTTATCTTTTGCCCGTAGGTACAATGAAGACCTAGAACTTGAAGATGCTATTCACACGGCAATCTTAACACTAAAGGTCATATATTTTATCTATTACTATAAACAGTGTTGAAATATTTATTCAGTGTTTGCTTTTGTAGAAAGGTATTATACCGCCTTGTTTTGATTACTTTTGTTTTTCTCTTCCTATACAGGAGAGCTTTGAAGGACAAATGACAGAAGATAACATAGAGGTTGGAATCTGCAATGAGGCAGGATTTCGAAGACTCACTCCAGCAGAAGTGAAAGATTATCTGGCTACCATTGTCTAATAACTTTCAATCTGATCAGGAGCGAGTTTTTTTTAAAATAAAAAAACTACTGATAATTACAATTTTGACACCTTTTTATTAAAGCCTTTTTTAGTTTGGAAATAGTCGAGTAAGTTGTCAGTATAATGTAAAGCTGTAATGAATCTTTCTAAGAGTTGCGCGAGTTCAAGCTTTGAATAAATATTCTCGGTTTAAAATATAATGCAGATCTGTGAAACCCCCGCAATTCGTTCATTCCACAATCTTAATGAAAGAACTTGTACATATTTTTCTAATTTTCTGATTCCTGTAATAAGGTTTCTGGGTGTTGGCAGGTTGATATTTCATTTTAGTTCCATCATCTTGTTTCTCGTTTTATAATAGCACTCTGCATAATAGGTTTTCTGCATGACTAAAATTAAGGGGAACGGTTAGAAGTAGCTTTACAAAAACACTTGGTGAAAGTTCCTATAAAAACTTTCATTGTGTAGCACTGGGAAGAGCGATAGGATAACAGACTATTATAAACTGTATATAAGCTGCATAGTCTTCTACAAAGGAAAAAAAAACTCCATCAAATAAATTGAAAAACTGGGTTGGAGTATTACAGCCCTAGCTGGCTCAGGATCGAGTCTACTAAACCAGAAGGCTGACTTGGTTTTGATATCCAAAGCGTTCAAAAGTGATTCAAGTGATCGGAGACACTACCCTGTGTGAACAGTGCTATATAAATGCACTTTGTTGTTGATGTTCCTCTTCCGAGCATTTCACTTTGGAGCCAGTTAGTCACTAGTTGGTCATTTGGAATCTGACAAGCTCAGCGCCATTAGTTCAGGAGAATGAGCCGAGGATGAAAAATATCGAGAAAGGGAAATGGTATAAAGCAAATTAGTTTATCTTTAGTAATTAGCATTGTTTTTAGGTGCTTATTTTAGAAATACTGAATACTATTTGAGTGTACTCCACACACCTCTGTTTGCCTAGCAGTAACTAGGAACCCTTTTTTAGTCGATTGGCGGATCACTTTTCCGAGGATAATAACTCCTCCAAAAAAAATTGGTCACTCAATCCACGACTGTTTGTGGGACACTGCTGTGTGCAATTGCCTGCCAGGTTTCGCCCACAAATATAGTCAATTCACCACAGTATATTCTGTGAAGCGCTTTGAGACATCTAGAAGACACGATAAGGCGCTATATCAAATCCAAGGATTATTACTAAACTACTACTAAAAAAGTCTGCGATTCAAGAAGGATCTCAATAATCGATTGACGTAGAGACATGATTTATACCTCATCTGAAAGGTTTGCATCTAGGAGTGACATGGGCATATTTGTTTTCGGGTATCTCCTATCGTTCATGAGTTATGACCTAAAATATATTTCAGTTTTGCGTTTTTCACTGCAGCATGTGTGTAGCCAAGTGGCGGCGGAAACAAAATAACATGAAGCTAAGCCGCAGCAACAACAACAAAATTACATTTATAGAGCACCTTTCATGTCGGGAGGATGTCCCAGTGATTACAAATTATAAATTTATCATCATAAAGATGCCTAAGCGAAAATCAAACCTTTCAGGGATAATTAAGTGTGTCTTGTCTGTCTGTGTGTCGATCTACATTCCATATTGGATCCTCTGGTTGCAATGGGTACAGCTAGTAATAAATAAGAATAAAGTGGAAACTTTGGGAATTGAAAAGCCTATACACCTAATTGACCCAGAAAGACAAGAATTTCACTAGCTTTGACCTAACAGTAGCATGCAGATTAAAACGTTTTGTTTTTAATTTGTCAACAGTAACCATTTTTTGGCTAAAATTTAAAGTCCAGTACTTGACTCTGTAAAATCTGAGTTTTTTTTTACAAAGATGTTTATTGATGCAGTGATGTTGCATGATTTATAAACCGAGGAAAATGTTTTACTAACTACTTTAAATGGACTAATGGCCATTCAATGCATATACAGTATGTACATTTTAAAAAATATTGCCATGCCCATTTTGCACCTTGTTTTCTTTGTTCATAAAGTATTGTTTGTGCCCTTAAATTTATATCTAGTGCTGGACAAGGCTGCTGAGGCTACCTTTGTAGATTGATGAATAATAGCGAAATATCCGCAATGGAGGATGCTCAATTTGGTATCGCATACAACAGTACAATGATCCGCAAAGTGAAAGCCGGTTTGTACCCACCAAGCATTGAAGGCTTTCCTGCATGTTTAACCAAAAAACATTTAAAAATATTAATTAATGTTGGAGGTAGTTGCTCAGGATTGAATCAATTTCCCAGATTTATCTTTCCCAGTTGGCCCATTGTCCTGCTCCAACCTGCTTTTCCATATCACCTTTTTTTTAAATTCATTTCGCTTTCCAGCTTTATATTTCTCTCGACACTTGTAGAGTAATAAATGGTGGCAAAGACTCGTTGGACCAATGTTTCTGTGCTGTAAATTCTATGCAAATGTAACACCTTTACAACAACAACTTGCACTTATATAGTGCCCTCTGTGCAGGGTAGCGTCTCAGAGCGTTTAACAGTGGTGGAGCCTGACTCCGAGCCGGAGGAAGGGCGGGTGACCGTAAGCACTGTCGAAACGGAAGGTTTTCAGGTGGGACTTGAAAAAGGGGGAGAGAGGTCAGGGCGGAGGGATTGAGGGAGAGTGTTCCAGAGTTTTGGGGGCGTAGCTGAATGCGCGACCTCCGATGGTGGAGCAGAGAGCGCAAGGGACAAGCAGGAGGCCGGTGCCAGTCGAACGGGGGCGCAGGGTGGTGGATTGGGGAAGTGAGGAGGTCGGAGGGGTGGGGGAGGTGCCGGGGAAGTGAATGGATTTTGAACACGAGCGTGAGGATCTTGGAAGTCGATTCGTTTAGTGACGTGGAGCCTGGCCGGAACCGGCCAGAGCCTGAGCTGCTCATCCAGTTGCCCTTCAGAAAGAATCTATCGTCAGCAGTAACTTGCGGGTAATTAATTCCAATCCTAGAATTAATTACCCGCAATTAATTGATTGATTGACTGATTAACTAATGCGAATGAAGCGCATGCATTTCATTCCTGAGTGTGCATATTCCCCTTGTCGGTTACTTCCTTATTAAATGCAATGTTCCCCACACACCGCCCCCCCACCCCTCACCACCCCGACCCCCCAACTTACCTCCCCACTCTTTCGTAACCCCCTCAACCCTCACCCTCTGGGGTGGAGGAAGCCTGTGATCTAATGCAGCCTCTCCCACTACCCCACTCAAGTTGTTGCTCTCCCACTGAGCAGCAGCAACAATTGCTAAGTGACTTCACTTGCCCCCCCCCACCCCCACCCCCACCATCGTTATCAGTTACGTTGCAAACTTGCACCCCCCCCCCCCTCTCCCCCCCCCCCCCAGGCTATGGTTGCTAAGCAAAGAGGAGTAACATGTCAATGGGCAGCTGTGACCTGGTGCTTTTGTCGTCAGATCCCCCTCCAACACTGGGTTTGCATTGTTAGCAAAAAGGGAAACCTGTGCCACAGGTCAATATAAACCCACACACACACACACACACACACACCAATGGTCGTTACTGCCACCACAGTTTGGCTGAAGCTGGACCTGGATGTCTGAGCTGCCCATGTCCCAGCTCACACTGACCGAGAGGTATGGGACACACACACACACACACACACACAGAGGGAGAGAGACTCTCTGCAATGTCCCATCAGAAGGTAAAGGGTGGACCACCACCAACTGTCGCCATGGAGACCGACTTTGTTTACACACAAGAGAGAGAGAGAGAGAGAGAGAGGCTCGAGCCCAACAGAGAGAGAGAGAGAGAGAGAGAAGAGTTATACAGAGAGAGGGGGTGAGAGGGAGAGAAAGTGTGTGTCTCTGTGTGTGTGTGTGTGAGAGAGAGAGAGAAGAGTTATACAGAGAGAGGGGGTGAGAGGGAGAGAAAGTGTGTGTCTCTGTGTGTGTGTGTGTGTGAGAGAGAGAGAGAGAGAAGAGTTATACAGAGAGAGGGGGTGAGAGGGAGAGAAAGTGTGTGTCTCTGTGTGTGTGTGTGTGTGAGAGAGAGAGAGAGAGAGAGAAGAGTTATACAGAGAGAGGGGGTGAGAGGGAGAGAAAGTGTGTGTCTCTGTGTGTGTGATAGAGAGAGAGAGGTGAAGAAATGGAGAAAGAGTGAGAGGTGGAAGGGGTGAGAGAGGAGGGGGATAGAGAGAGTGTGAGAGAGAGATAGAGAGAGTGTGGGGGAAAGAGGGATAGACAGGGAGAGGGGGTGAGAGAGGAGGGGGATAGAGAGAGTGTGAGAGGGATAGAGAGTGTGTGGGGGAGAGAGGGATAGACAGGGAGAGGGGGTGAGAGAGGAGGGGGATAGAGAGAGTGTGAGAGGGATAGAGAGTGTGTGGGGGAGAGAGGGATAGACAGGGAGAGGGGGTGAGAGAGGAGGGGGATAGAGAGAGTGTGAGAGAGAGATAGAGAGAGTGTGGGGGAGAGAGGGATAGACAGGGAGAGGGGGTGAGAGAGGAGGGGGATAGAGAGAGTGTGAGAGAGGGATAGAGAGAGTGTGGGGGAGAGAGGGATAGACAGGGAGAGGGGGTGAGAGAGGAGGGGGATAGAGAGAGTGTGAGAGAGAGATAGAGAGAGTGTGGGGGAAAGAGGGATAGACAGGGAGAGGGGGTGAGAGAGGAGGGGGATAGAGAGAGTGTGAGAGAGGGATAGAGAGAGTGTGGGGGAGAGAGGGATAGACAGGGAGAGGAGGGGGATAGAGAGAGTGTGAGAGAGAGATAGAGAGAGTGTGGGGGAAAGAGGGATAGACAGGGAGAGGAGGGGGATAGAGAGAGTGTGAGAGAGATGGAGAGAGTGTGGGGGAGAGAGGGATAGACAGTGAGAGGGGGTGAGATATAAATACAGACTCTCTTATAGATAGGAGAGATAGTACATCAATTTATACACATAAAAGGGGGAGATTAGAGGAGCAACGTAGAGAGATAGAGGGAATATACACAGTATATAATATATATATAAGAAGACAGTAATATCGTGTGTGGATATATGGGGGACAGAGGAGATTAAAGAGATAGGAGGAAAGTATATAGGTAAGGAACAGAGAGCGACAGTGAGATAGGAACAGAGAGAGATAGAGAACAGACTGACTGGGGTCAGACACAGGTAGATCAGGAATAGAGAGAGACTCTCTAAATCCAAGTTGTTGTTGTTGTAGTAGAGGGAAACAGACGTGGGGGGGGGGGGGACAGGTAGAGAGATGGGTTAGTTAGATCAGCTTATGTGAGTCGGAGGCTGAGTAGAGGGTTGAAAGATAGAACTACATCGGAATAGAGATAGCAAGGAAATTAGAGAGGGATAGTGGGGAAGATTTAGGCGACAGAGAAAAAGAGCAATAGAAATCGAGAGAATAGAGGAAACAGAGATAGGAGAGGGAAAAAGGAAAGCGAGTCTGTTAAAGAGGGAGACAGTGGAAAGGAGCAGAAGGAATATAAAGAAAGAATTGAGGGAGAGAACACATTTAGAGAGAAAGACGGTCCAGAACAGGTTTGGCCGAAGAGATTGGGAGAAATAAAGGCGCTCTCAGGAGGGTAGATCTGCCACAAACCCAGAGCGAAAGAAGTTCAGTTGGAGGCTCAGTCACCTCACTAGGTAACATCATGTTGGCTTGTCTTTCACGCTCGGTTGGATTGGTTCTAGGCAGAACAAAATGTTACATTTTGAAAATAAGTTTCTGAAATAAATAATTCTTAAATTGCTTGAGACATAATTCGAGATGGCACCGCAAAAAAGGAATCTCTAAACGTTGATTCACGTATCTGCTAACATCTCAATGTCATTCTTATACTTGTGTAATGACATCGATCAAGTCTCTGAGTCTTCACATTCTCGGTTTCCAACTTTGCTATGTCGAGTTGGATCTCGGTAATGCCTACGCAACTTGAAGAACCAACTTCAAGGGGAATCTGACTGCATCTGGAACCGTTCGAAAACATTTGTTGTACATTGTTGTGTCCCTCGAAGCAAATCTTAATGTAAAAGTGATTTGATGCTATCTTAGAGTTTCCAAATCTTAGTCCGTACTGAGCCCCCAAATTCAACAGCCGCCTTGCACTTATATAGCGCACTTCATGCAGGATAGGGCCTTGGAGAACTGTAGTGACAGGATTGGACACTGAGGAAGGGAGAGGTGACCGTATGCGCAGTCAATGAGAGAGGCATAGAATGGGATCCAAAGGTAGATAAAGAGAGGGTGAGATGGAGGAACTGTGGCAGGGAGTTGCAGAAATTAGAGGAGTAGTGGCCCTAACCTGACCAGCAAACTAACCGGCTTCCTCTCTCTAATATACAGGGGAATCCTGTCATTGCTCCAGTAAGGTATGGCTACACTTATAGAGCTATTGTTTTGTGGATCCGCGTTAATCGGAAAAGCTATACTGTACATCCGACTCCTGACGCTGACTAACCAGCTTCTCAGGGTGTAAATGACTGAATTCCAGATCATCAAGTAACTGCTGATGTCCGTTCCTGCGTCTTGCTTGCTGTATGCTACGCAAGCGTTATTTTCTATCATGTATTTAATTCTTCATGTTTGCCCAAGGGAACAACAATCCATTTTAGGTTGTAAAATAATGCAGTGATGAATATCGCTAGCTTGGGCTTCAGCTGAACAAAACACTGAGCATTTGAAACAATATTTGATGATGCTTCTAGTGATTGATATTTAAACCAGGGTATAAGATTTTAGTTGGAGCGGTTGATATTTATAGTTGAATGAGTGAAGTTGTAATAGGAAACTTGATGCATACATGAGAGAGAAAGGAGAAGGGAATACACAGCCTCTCATAGTATGTAAACATTGGCAAATACTAGTTGGATCGAATGGGCTATTTCCATTCTGTAATGTTCTGTGTAACAATTATAGATTATTTATTAATATGAGATTAATTTATAGTGGGCATAGAATATTTAATAATACAGCTTCTGATGAATATTCAATTTTTCCATAATTTAAACTTTTAATAAAGAGACTAGTATTCAATTTTTCTCTATTTCATAATAGAATAGAAAAAAAAATTTCAAAATATGTCTCGCCTAATATTCAGGAAATTAAAAGCCAAACTTAAATTCCAGCATATTTATTTTGTTCCAGTACAGAATGTCATATTTTTTAATGATACAGCAGAAGTGAATGTCGGAATCTTTAATCGTAGGTAATTACCTTTTGATTCAGAGAAATTATTCAGGTAATGGAGAGCTCTGGTTAAATAATGTTCTAAAAAAACCTCTTGTATTAGTATTGGATTATTTCAGGGATCCCTGGTCCTGGACGACGGTGTGACACAATTCCATATTAGTAATACCTTAGCCAGGTAAGTGGTTGATTCTTTAATTATGAGTTTTGTTTGACAATGAAAGGACACCAAAGGCAAACTTGTTATTAACTTTACCTGGCATCCACAAATTATACTTTAAGCGTGGTTCTCAATACAGCAGTCCAGACAAGAAAACCCTGGGACACCATCCCCTCTTTAGCTTTGGGATATTGAAGCCAATTAATAATACTACTAATAATAATCCTTACATTTAGTATAGTGCCTTTCATTTCAGGAGGACGTCTCAAAGCACTTCACAGGATACACGGTAAATTTATTTCTTCTCGTCTGTATGGGTGAATAGCACACCTCAAGATGCAATATCTAGTGAGGGATCATGAAAAGTTAAATTTAATGTATGGTTGGTCGGACAGACAAAGGTGATGCGCTCGGAAAATCCAATTTTGGAGGAATTTAAAAATTGAGAACATGTTTGTGCATTACTACAAAATGAAAATCATGACATTGCAATGTAGGGTACATTTTCAATAAAATATTCATTTTGGATATCTTTAATATGGGAATGTAACAACAACAACTTGCACTTACATAGCCTCCTCCACACAGGGTAGCGTCTCAGAGCGCATAACAGTGGTGGAGCCTGACTCCGAGCCCGGGGTGGGTGGCGGTGGGGGGGCGGGGAGGGGAGGAGGTGGCCGTAAGCACGGTCGAAGAGGGAGGTTTTCAGGCGGGACTTGAAAAACGGGAGGGGGCAAGGCGGAGGGATTGAGAGAGAGTGTTCCAGAGTTTCAGGGTGTAGTGGCTGAAAGCGCGACCTCCGATGGTGGGGTGGAGGGTGCGAGGGATGAGCAGGAGGCTGGTGCCAGTCGAGCGGAGGCACCGGTTGGTGCTTTGGGGAGTGAGGAGGTCGGAGAGGTAGGGAGGTGCCAGGCAGTGAAGGGATTTGAACACGAGTGTGAGGATCTTGAAGTGTAAAGTAATAGTGTACTTCAAACATAACCTTTTGAATAATTTTATACATCAATACTTGAACCGTGTTTCGACCTCAGCATTCATCTCTTGAGATACAGTCAAATGTTTTGTCATAGTGCAAGAAACTTAACGAACTCTGCAGTCTAGCCACTAGATGGAAACCCAGTGCCATTTAAAAAAAATCTCGGTGAAAAATAAAGGTTTATTGTACCTAAATAATAATCCTTGCATTTGATATAGCGCTTTTCACGTCGGGAGGACGTCCCAAAGCGCTTTACAGAACACACTGTAAAGTGAATTGACTGTATATTTGTGGGCGAATGCGGCAGCCAATTGCGCACAGCAATGTCCCACAAACAGTCGTAGATTGAAAATGACCAATTTATTATTGTTTTTGGTTTTGGAGGGATTATTATTAGGCTCTGTGTGGAGTAAGGAAACTTGCCCAAGGTTTCGCCCTCTGCCTGGAATTGAACTCAGGTCTAAATAAGTGGCTTAGGGTCAGCGGGGCAAATAGAATACCAGGAGTGAGAACATGGATTCTTCTTTGTCATATAATAGCTGACAAAATAATTTAAATTAATTGTATTCTAATGGCTAAAATTGAAAATTTAAATCTCACTTCATTTTGAAAGAACAAGATGGTAGGAGTCAAGCTGACAACAATGAGATAGAAGAAACCATTCTCCAGAAGGCAGAGGAGTGTTCTGTCTTTAGCAGTTGGTTAGGGTTAGGCATAATAAGATCATAAATTCTATTCTTGTGACAACTGTCTCATCTGGTGGTGCTCCTCAATTCAATGCCCCATGAAAGTTCGCTAGGTTGACACTGTTTATACAAATACACAGTCAATCCCCTTTATAAAATATTCTGTGATGCACTGTGCGATGTCTCAACAACCTGATCAGGCGCTATATCAAATGCATGGATTATTATTGGTGTATTATTTATACCATAAATTACAAATGTTTTTATTTTTGTTTAATTTTTCACTTCATTGCCCTTATGTTGCCAAGGAAACCACTCTGATGTCACAACGTTTGCATAATGTTAGATTTTAGTGTTTAAATTTAATATAAAAAGTAGATTAAACAAATTATGGTGCCCGCAGCAAAATTTAATATCCAATGGTAAATCAGAACTGCCTATCAAGGTCCTATACAAGTTACTCAGGACTGTTTTCCTTTTAAATTATAAAGTTTACACCGGCAAAATTTATATATTTCCCTGCATCTATTTATTTGCCTGTACATTTGTTTGCTGAGTTGGTGTATACAGTGCTCTTAACTATTTAGTTGACCCCGTGGTGGAGAGGTTATATTTCTACCCACCCCTTCTTCATTTCTTGCAGCAGTTACACACCCACATACTTGAAATTGCATAATTCATTTTTAATCTATAAACCATGTTCAGATTAATTAAACTGAAATCTCAATAAAATGTTAACCTTTGGGCAATTTTTCAATTCATTTCATTGTCTGTATTTTGAAATCCCTCAATATAAGTTTAAACAGAAAATGCAAACCCTCAAGGTTTACTTTAAATGGATTTTTTGGTATGTGTGTTGGTTTAGAACAGGAATGTCAAACTTTGTTTTGGAATTATAATTTGGGGTTAAAGCTGAAAAAAGATGGCCTTCACTGGCCCAGAAAAATAGCACAAATGGCTGTGGTTCATTTTAGACCATTGTTATCCCTGGGTTAATACTCCTGCAAATCACTTTTTTTATTAATCTAACATGGTGTTTAGAGCCCTGGAATTTATGTGGGGACTCATATAGTCTAGGCTGACAATTCAATGCAATGCTGGGGAGGTGTTGCAATGTTGGAGGTACTCTCCTTTCAATGAGAGATGTTAAAGATAGGACCTGTCTGCTTCTTCAGATGGACATTAAAGATTCCATGGCACTATTTGAAAAGAAAGGGGAGTTTCTCCCAGTGCCAAAAGCCCCCGCAAACAATTGGTCCTTCACTTCATGGCTGTTTGTGGGACATTCCTGTGTGTAAATTGGCTACTGTGTTTTGCCTAAAAATACAGTCACTGCAGTTTACAGTATGTATTGTGAAGCTCTTTCACATGTTCTGATGAGAAAGGTGCTATATCAGATATAAGTATTAATTTTATTGGGCCAGTTGTTTTGCTAAAGTGATCCGAGAGGTTGGTGTGAGAATGCAAAAGTCATCAACAGGCTGCAGATTTGAGATCGGAAAACATTTCTTCGTACATGGGCTTGTTAAAATATGGAATTCACTATCATGAAAGGCTGCTAATTGCTTTGAGAAGTTCATCTTATGTGAAAAGTATCATCTTATATGAATCTACATGTTGTTGTAGATGCAGAGGTAATTGGAATCCTTGATAGGGAGATAAACATTTGGGAAGTAAGGATTTTAAAGAATATGGAGAAAATCAGATAAATGGGTAAAGGGATTTGACATGATCTAATACATTGGTGATACTGGCCTGATGGGCTGAATGACCTCGCCTTGATCCTGTGTTCATATATTCCAATTTCTATTAATCTGGAAAGTAATAATAATAATTCTTGCATTTGATATAGCCCCTTTCTAGTCAAGAGGTCACCTCAGGAACACTTAACAGGATATACTGCAAAGTATAGTGCCTATCTTGTAGGTGAACCCGGCAGCCTATTTAAGCACAGTGAAATCCCACAAACAGCCATGAAGTGAGAAACTAATTTTATTTAGGAGATTGTTGGCTAGGACCCATGGAGAAACTCCCTTCTCTTTGAGTTGAATTTACGAAGTTATAGTCAAATCTTTGTTTATATGTCTTATTCGCAACTTGGGACACAGATTTAGGTTGGATACTATATTTGAGAGATCCACACATGGAAGAAGAGCTTTGACCCTGATATTCTGTTCAGATATTAATGCACAATGTTGAACTGCAGCCATAGCCATTCTCATGTTCTTGTTACTGGGAAGTGTGGCTTAAGTCTTAGAAACTCTTACATTGCTCCACTCATGGAGATGAAATTTGTGGTGTTTCATCACGTTTGATATGATAATTATTGCCTAGTATTAACTACTGGCTTATCGACTCGCCATAATAATCAATCAGTACTCAGTGATAATTATCACATCAAACACATTATGAACAATGCATATTTCACCCCTTTTTGCAACAATAACCAAAGATATTTTTGTGATGTTGCATCGTGTTGCCCACTGTCATCTGCAGGAGCATTAATAAATCATGCGGATATGAACGCTTAACAAATGCTCATATTTGAAAGCAAGAATGAACAAAAAACATCTTGTGCTGGAAGTAAAACAGTTGAAATTAATCAAATTAAAATGGCAAATTTTCCCACGTTTTAATATCTTGAAGCCTGGAGGAGGTATTGACAAAGTAGATCTAAATCAATTCCAACCCACATTATCCTATTTTCATAAATTTAAAGGCAATGAATCATGTAGATCACATAAGTTTTCAATATAAAAAAAACTCAATTTTCAATTCATATTATTATTGTAGGAACTGCACAAATTCAAAACATGTTTGAATTATTGTAATAGAAGTTGAAAGTTTGAGTTTGTTTAACTTTACCATTTATTGGACAAGGAAATTAACAATGTTTCCTCAATAATAAGGATGAGGAAAACATTTGTAATTTGAATGTGGGGGAAGTTTTCAAAAGATCTTTGGAAAACCATACTAAGCTTTTTTTCTTCCACTAACTCATTTATAATACATTATGTATGAAAGCATCTCAAAGAATATGATATCAGTTAAACAAACACTCCTCCAGTACTTGTTTCGCCCACAAAAAAACACATTCACTCCACTTTACAGTATATCAAACGAAGTGCTTTGAGCTGACCTATCAACATGAAAGGTCAAATGTAAGGATTATTATTATATTATACCAAATGGAAGTATTATTGTTATTATCACCAACCTAGAGTATCAGGTGAAACCAGTGGTGGCCAAGTTTTATTGTCAGCCAACAAAATTAATTTAAAATAAATTAAGAAATATTCCATCAAAAGATTGAAAACATGCTACCAATTGAACATGGACTTACCTAGACTCGTGCGAATGTATGGGCGGGGGGGAGGGGGAAGGTACGCTTCTTGACGGCTCTATGTTTGGTCACCACTAGTCTAGACTGTGATGAGTCTTGGACACACAGCCTTACGGTCCAGAGCTGAGAATGCTACCCACTGAGCCAAGCTGACACATAATACGTAATTAATCTCTTTTTATTCTCTAACAGTATTTGAAAGAAGGAGCAACAATATGTCAACCCATGGCCAATATAGTGAGTGCGGTAAGTTTTTCCTCTTATTCTAAACCCCTTTGTAGCACATTAAAATTTTATTGTTTTCCCCTTCAATCTGTCTACTCCTCTCCTGAAGGTGGTGACTTAAACTTCAACTCGCTTGGTTTCACTGGCTCCCCATCACTCAGAGGATACAGTACAAGATCCTGGTCCTCATCTTCAAAACCCTCCACTGCCTTGCTCCTCCCTTCCTCTGTGACCTCCTAACACCCTACCAACCTGTCCACTCCCTCCGCTCAGTGGGCTCCGGCCTGCTTCCAGCGGCTTGGGTTGTCCTCCTGACATGAAAGGCACTATACTGTAATGTGTTGATGTTGTCACCGATTACCCAGTTGGCTTTCATCTTAGAAATTGCAATTCGTGAGTGTTGATCAGGTATTTAAAGTATGGATATAAAATCTTAAAAAANCCTTCCATTCGATATAGTGCTTTTCACGTCTTCTAGATATCTCAAAGTGCTTCACAGAATATACTGTAAAGTGAATTGACTGTATATTAATGGGAAACGTGGCAGCCAATTGCGCACAGAAGTGTCCCACAGACAGTTGTGGGTTGAAGTGACCAATTTACTATTGCTTTGTTTCTTGAGGGATTATTATCAGGTGTGTGGAGTAAGGAAAGTTGCCCAAGATTTCGCCCTGCCGGGAATCAAACCCAGGTCTCCTGCTTGTGAGGTGTGTCCTCTAACCACTGAGTTGCAGGATATCCAAACCAAGCTGATCCTGCTCTCACTCAGTGTCTACCCATAAACATGTTCTACCGTTGGAGAAGCTTAGAGTGCTTAGGTGAATTGTTGAGACATTGATGCTGCCTCTTGTGAGATTAGCTAACTCAGTACTGATTTGGAATCAAACCTGGGACCTCCCCGGTTTGCACAACTTAGTTTCACTTTAGTCAGTGTCGCTACAGGCTGAACATTTGGATATTGAACTCTATGTTACAGTAGGGTAACATGTAATACAGCGGCAGAACTTTCTTACTTTATATTCTGTCTACTTTGAATTTGTGACTGTGCCAGCAAGCGGGTATGATCTGTACTATAGCAGAACACTACGTACTCAGATGATCATAAAATTGCTTTATTGGATGAAACATCTCGTTTCATCTCTTGCTACTGGAAATCTCACTGCATCGTTATTTTATCTTAGAATCATAGAATTATACAGCACAGAGGAGGCCATTCGGCCCATTGTGTCTGTGCTGCTCTTTAAAAAGAGCTATCCAATTCAATCCCATTCCCCTATGTTCTCCCCATAGCCCTGCAAACTTGTCCTCCTCAAATAATTATCTACTTCTCTCTTAAAGTTGTTATCGAATTGGCTTCCACCACCATTTCAGGCAATGCATTCACAACTCACTGTGTGAAAAAANTTCTCCTTACCTTCCTTCCGGTTCTAGTGGGTGCTGCGCAGGTTCACCAGAATTCTACCAGGCCAAAAAGGGTTAAGTTAAGAGGAAAGGCTGCGTAAACCTAGATTGTATTCCCTCGAGTTTAGCAGATTGAGGGGTGATTTGATGGAGGTTTTTAGGATGATAAAGGGATTTGATAGGGTAGATGCAGAAAAGCTATTTCCTATGTTGGGGGAATGCAAAACAAGGGGGCATAGTCTTAAAATTAGAACCAGACTATTTAAGAGTTAAATTAGGAAGCATTTTTTCAATCAAAGGATGGTAGAAATCTAGAACTCTCTCCCCCAAAAGGGCGTGGATGCTGGATCCATCCACGCCTTCAAGAAAGAGATTAACAGAGTTTGGTAGGTCAGGGTGTTAATGGATATGAGGAGAAAGTGGGAAATGGATTTGAAATTATTCTAGTAAAGATATAGATCAGCCATGATCTAATTAAATGGCGGAACAGGCTTGATGGGCTGAATGGCCTACTCCTGTTCCTATGTTCCTATCAACAATTATTTTAAATTGATGTCCTTGGGTCACCGACCCACCCACCAGTGGAAACAGTTTCTCCTTGTTCACCCTATCGAATCCCCTTATCATATTAAGTCTCCTCTTAACCTTCTCTGCTCCAAGGAGAATAATCCTAGCTTCTGTAGCCCTGGTGAGACCACACCTGGAATACTGTGTCCAGTTTTGGTCTCCTCATTTAAGGAAGGATGTACTTGCCTTGGAGGGGGTGCAGCGTAGATTTACTAGGTTAGTACCAGGGATGAAGGGGATGAGTTACGAGGATAGGTTGACCAATTTGGGCCTATACTCTCTAGAATATAGAAGAATTAGAGGGGATCTTATAGAAACCTATAAGATCATCAAAGGGCATGATAGAGTAGATAGTGGGAGATTGTTTCCCTGGTTGGAGAAACTAAAACAGGAGTCACAACCTTAAAATCAGAGGCCAGCCCTTTCGCACTGAGTTGAGGAAGAACTTCTTCACTCAAAGGGTGATGAATGTATGGAACTCACTACCCCAAAGGGCTGTTGACGCTCAGTCCTTAGACATATTGAAGACTGAGTTGATAGATTTCTTATTGCAAAAGGGTTTAAGGGATATGGGGATAAGGCAGGGTCAGGTTATTAGCTGGAGTTAGATTAGAAGATCAGCCATGATTGAATGGCGAGGCAGGCTCGAAGGGCCAAATGGACTATACCTGCTCCTACATGTTATGTTATGCTACTCTAGCTGAGGCCTAACCAGTGCTTTATAGAGGTTCATCATAACTTTGTGACTTTTGCATTCTATACCTCTGTTTATAAAGCATAGTATCCCGCATGCTTTTTTTTAACAGCTTTATCTCCCAGTGCTGCTCCTTGGTCTCTCTGTTCCTTCACCCCTTTTAAGATTGTACCATCAACTTATATTGCCTCTCCTCATTCTTCCTCCCAAAATGCATCACTTTACATTTCTCCACATTAAACTTCATCTGCCACGTGTCTGCCCATTTTACCAGTCTGTCTATGTCCTCTTGCAGTCTGCTGCTATCCTCCTCACCATTTACTACTTTTTCTAGCTTGATATCATCTGTAAACTTGGAAATTGTACTCCCTATACCCAAGTCCAGGTCATTTATATAGATCAAAACGACCAGTGGTCCCAATACCAGCCCCTGGGGGACACAACTGTACACTTTCCTCCAGTCAGAAAAACAACAGTTCACAACTACTCTCTGCCTTCTGTCTCCCAGAGAGTTCAGTATCCATGCTGCCACTGTCCCTTTAATACCGTGGACTTCTATTTTGCTTACAAGTCTTCTATGTGCCACTTTATCAAATGCCTTTTGAAAATCCATATAAACTACATCAACTGCACTACCTTCATTCACCCTCTCCATTACTTCATCAAAAAACGCTATCAGGTTTGTTAGACACGATTTGCCTTTCACAAATCCGTGTTGGCTGTCCTTTGTTAACCCATACTTTTCAGAAATTAATTTTGTCCCGGATTATCATCTCCAGAAGTCTCCCCACCACTGACGTTAGGCTGACTGGCCTATATTTCCCCGGGATTATTCTTCTGCCATTTTTTGTACAGGGGAGTAACATTTGCAACCCTCCAGTCGTCTGGCACCACCTTGGTGTCCTAGGATGATTGAAAGATTATGCCCAGAGCCTCCGCTGTTTCCACCCTTACTTCCCTCAGTAACCTTGGATGCATCCCATCCTGACTGGGTGCATTATCTTCTACAATGCAATCTGTTAGCCAAACATTAGGAATCATTTAGTTCCTGGTGCACTACTTTTTGAGTACCCCTGTTCATCACTTTCTCTAATTCCTAAATTACAATCTAGAATATATTCTCATTTCATTTGATCAATATCAGCAACATTATTTTTGAGAACAGGATTCTATCTTGTATAGTATAAGGTGACATTTAATGCAAAAAAAGCCTGTGGGCATTTGATTTTCTTATTGATGGGCAATAGTATGTGTTGGTTATTGCCCCATATCAGCATTTCCCCTTGTAGTGATGAGCGAAAAATGTAAATATTGTATCCAGTGGATTGTACTTGTTAAAGAAAATTCTTTAACATCTGTTGTTAGTGTATAACGGTCTATAATTAGTTTGACAAATGGACACTTTGTGTAAATAATTAAAGATCATGAAATTTAGCTGGAATCGTGCGAAAAATCATTGCTGCAGTTCAACTGCTGTAGATACTTTTTAGTGATATAATAATGATCACATCTGTTGCTTGCATATCTGTTATTAATGCTGTAATTGTTGGCACTGATCAAAGTGCTATGGTTCTGTGAAGCTTGATGGGATACTGGGCTAACTCAGATTGATTTATTGGTGTTGTTAATTTAAGGTGGTATTTTGTGATGGCACACAAAAATGTCAACTTTGAAGTTTAAAACATCATTCAGCAACAACAACAACTTGCATTTATCTAGTGCCCTTCATGCGGGTGGCATTTCGGAGCGCTTAACAGTGTCTAAGCCCAATGTCGAGCCGGGGAGAGGGGGAAGTTGACCGTAGGCATGGTTGAAGAGGAAGGTCTTCAAGTGCGAACTGAAAATGGGGAGAAAGAGGCAAGGTGAAGGGAGGCGTAGGATATTGTGGCAAAGTTCCACAGCTTCGGGGCACAGTGTCTGAAAGCATGGCAGCTGATGGTGGGGTTGGGGGAATAAAAATGAGAGCAAAAATAGTAAAACTGGTTTTAGACCCAACCATTGTTTTGAGACCACTCAAGGACATGATAAAGCACTATATCAAATGAAAGGATTATTATTATTATGCAAATTGGGTTCACATCAGGAACCAGTCAGTAGTAATAGATTGAAAATTGTGATGTTTTTAACAAAACATCAAGAAAGTTAAGAAACATCATGTTGCATCCTATGAACCCGGTTGTTAGTCGATTGGCGGATCGCTTTTCTGGGGGCAATAATTCCTTCAAAAAAAAATATTGGTCACTCAATCCACGACTGTTTGTGGGACACTGCTGTGCGAAATTGGCTGTTGTGTTTCGCCCACAAAATATATTGTCAATTCACTTTACAGTATATTCTGTTGAAGCGCTTTGAGACGTCT